CAGAAGCGTGCCAGCGCAGTTTTGATCAACTGAAGGAGTGCCTGACCCAGGCACCAGTCTTGATTCAACCTACTCCTGGCATCGAGTATACCATCTATAGTGACGCATCTCATAGCGGCTTAGGTTGTGTACTGATGCAGTTGAGTAAGGTAGTGGCCTACGCATCGAGACAGTTGAAGACTCACGAGGAGAACTACCCGACACATGATTTAGAGTTGGCAGCCGTGGTGTTCGCCTTGAAGATTTGGCGCCACTACATCTTTGGAGAGAGGATTCACATCTTCACCGATCACAAGAGTTTGAGGTACCTACTCACCCAGAAGGAGCTGAATCTTAGACAACATCGATGGTTGGAGCTGATCAAGGATTACGATTTAGTCATTGAGTATCACCCGGGCAAGGCTAACATCGTGGCTGATGCTTTGAGCAGAAAATCGTTAGCCGAGCTACAGCTTCAGTCTCCGTTAGAGCAGGAGATCCGTACAGCACAGAGAGATGATAAGTTTTGTCAAAAGACTCGAGAGTTAGTTCCTACAGGAAAGAGGCCCGAGTTTGCAATTCGCGATGACGGAGTCTTGTACTATCGTGAACGCCTAGTGGTGCCCCGCGGTGGAGTGGGGGATCGCTTGTTGCGCGAGGCTCACGGAACCGTATACACTATGCACCCGGGTAGTAACAAGATGTATCAGGATTTGAAGAAATCCTATTGGTGGCCAGCTATGAAAAAGGAAATCTCCGAGTTCACTGCGCGCTGCTTGACTTGTCAGCAAGTCAAGGCTGAGCACCAGGTTCCGACAGGGTTGCTGCACCCTCCTACCATTCCGGAATGGAAGTGGGAAAGGATCACTATGGACTTTGTGATAGGATTGCCACGATCTTCACGAAAGAATGACGCCATTTGGGTCATTGTTGACAGGTTGACAAAGTCCGCTCATTTTCTACCCGTCAGACGTGACTCTTCCTTGGACAAATTGGCAGACTTATACGTTAGAGAGATAGTTCAGTTGCACGGTGCACCACTATCAATCATATCTGATAGAGATCCCCGGTTCACTTCGATGTTCTGGAGAGGACTTCAGAAGGCTTTTGGCACAGCTTTGAACCTTAGTACGGCATTTCACCCTCAGACCGATGGCCAGTCTGAGAGGGTGATACAGATTGTCGAGGATATGATGCGAGCTTGTGTGATCGACTTTGGAGAATATTGGGAGCGTTACTTGCCGTTGATGGAGTTTGCCTATAATAACAGTTACCAGGCGAGTATTCAGATGGCTCCTTATGAGGCACTCTACGGCAGAAAGTGTCGAACCCCGATTTGTTGGACAGAGCTTAGCGAGCGTAAGCTCGAGGGACCAGATATTGTGCAGGAAACCGAGGAGAAGGTTCGTGTGATCCGAGACCGACTCCGCACTGCTTCGGACAGATAGAAATCTTATGCAGACTTAAAGAGACGAGACATAGAGTACAATGTTGGTGACATGGTATTCTTGAAGGTTTCACCTTGGAAGAAGGTCCTACGGTTCGGGAAGAAAGGGAAGCTTAGCCCCAGATTCATTGGACCCTACCGCATTCTGGAGCGAATAGGACCTGTTGCTTACAGGTTAGAGTTGCCACCAGAGTTGAACAGGATTCACGACGTCTTTCATGTCTCCATGCTACGTAGATACCGTTCAGATCCGACTCATGTGTTGTCGACCAATGCTGTAACCCTCGACGAGAGTTTGTCATACGAAGAAGAGCCAGTTAAGATCTTGGCGCGCGAAACTAAAGTACTAAGAAATAAGACGGTACCTTTGGTAAAGGTACTATGGCGTAACCATGCGGTGGAAGAAGCAACCTGGGAGACCGAAGAATCTATGCGAACTCAGTACCCTCATCTCTTCGACGACCAATGACTCAGGTAATTTCGAGGACGAAATTCTTTTTAAGGGGGGGAGAAATGAAACGCCCCGAAACCTGGCCCAAAAGAATTAATTAAATTGTTCGAGCAATTGATTACGAATTGGGCCCAAAAAGGGGTTAAAATTATAATTTGGATTTTAAGCCCAACTTTTATGTCATCTCGTAGGAAATATTTTTGTGATCGCGTCGGTTCAGACGGCTCGCGAATCGGAGTTATGGAGCTCATGTTATGACTATTTAATCAGGTATTTTGGGTCCGAAGCCCAATCCTTTTTGGAATGGGACCATTAAATAAACCTAAACCACACAAACCTTATCTTCTTTGTTCGTCCTTCTTCTTCTCCCGTTCTTCTTCTTCTTCTTCTTCTTCTTCTTCCTTCTTCGTCTTCCCCAGCCATCATCGCCGCCATGAGCCAGCCGCCGGTCGTCCTCCCTGCCGATCGACCTCCGCCTCCAGCGCCGCGCCTCGCCACTGGACGTCGCCTCCCCTACCGGCAACCACCATCATCGCCGTCGAGTCCAATCGCCGCCGCTGTTTTCTTCGTCGGTCGTCCGCCGCCGTCGAGTTGCAGCGCCGCCGGTCGCCCTTCCCCAGCCATTCGACGCCGCTGCTTCCTTCGCCAGTAGCCGCCGCCCTCATCGCCGACGAATTGCAGCGCCGCCACGCCGAGCGCCGCCACCATCATCGCCGTCGAGTCCTTCCTCGCCGACGAATTGCAGCGCCGCCAGTCGCTGCTGATCGCCGTCGAGTTGCCGTTCCGCCACTGTCGCCGGCGTCCGTCACCGTCGCCGCATCCAGCCGCTGCCCCGAGTTGATATCGCCGGCAGATTAACCTCCACGCCGGATTGATTGGTCGATTTCGCATTTTGACTCAATTTGACCCGTTCGTTTGATTTCGTTGATTTGTCTTCCGTTCGAGCTATCGATTCGATTTCGGCGTAATCCAGGTCCGTACTATGAAGTTAATAGCATTTAGAATAAATTTAATGGTTCGGATCGTTATATGTGTTTATGCTATAATTTGGCTAAATTGGTTAATTGAATTAAATTGATTATTTGAATTGAATTGTTGAGGATTATGGATTGACTGAACAGGTTTGACTTTGACTTGGGTTAGGTCACGTTTGACTTAGGCTTTGACTGGATATTCTGTCGACGTAGGTTTGACCGAATGGTTAAATCCAAGACTTCAATGAATTAGTTAAGTTAATTAATTAATTCTAATCGGTGATTAAGGTCAATTGGTTTATTGTGATTGAACATAGAAACTGGTCATTGCTCGGGCGGCTGCAGGGCCTGGTCAGTGAGGTTAAGACGTGCGCACGAGGGTCTGTGATCTTGGGTTTGAGGCTATCGCCCGAGGGATCCTACCTCCACCAAATTGAGGCTATCTTCGGTATTACGGATTGAGGCTATCTCCGTCATAGGCATTAAATGTTAAGTGGTTTGACTTTGGTGAAAGTCTAAATTGGTTTCACCGGTGGTCAAAGAGTTCATGAGAAACCCGTAACACCTAAATCGTTTTGAAAAGAAAGAAAATAAGTTGACTGTTGGTCAACCGTCTAAAGAACCGAATTTAAAGTTGAATTGATTTTTATTAAAAGGATAAACATATGCACGATCTTAATTGTTGAATTATTATGTTTATTCTTGTGCTACAATGGAGTACCACTCAGCGTCAATGCTGAGCGGATAGCGTTGTTTTTCTTTTTGCTGTCCGTAGGTGATCAGACAGATGAACCTAGAGCCAATCCCAGAGGGCATTGAGGAGGAGATGTACGATGGCGTGGCTGCCTCTTTAATCTGTTGATTATGCTTTATTTAATTAACTTTAATGCTTATTACGTTTTCGGGCAAGATCCCAAGTTGTTTGACTTTAAAAAGGCTTCCGCATTATTTTAAATTACTCCGATGGATTTTTATATGTATTGAAAGAACGTTTGTTTAAAATTGTTTTGAAAATGTTGCAAATTCGGATACCAATTCAGTGGCACACCGGTCCGCTGTCTCACGGGTTTGGGTCATGCGGGTTGGGGTGTTACAAGCCCTGCGACCCGAGCAAAGGTAGGCAAATCAATCTCTATGTCGTAGAGATTGATGCTGCTGCGAATGGTGTCCCCGTCACGGCGGAGATTGGAGTAGAAAGCCCGGACGAAGGCTGGATTGAAGCTCGAGCGGCTCTTGGAGACGAATGGCCACAAACCCGACGCTTGGAGTTGGTTGTCGAGGTCGTGGTACCCTTTGTCTTGGGGAAACAACTCCGGGAGCACGCGAGGTGGAGAGATCGGGCGCTTGGCAAAGTGAGTGAGGAAGCGTGTTAGTTCTTCTTCCGACCCGAACTCAAGAAATGATCCGTCCAAATATGGGAACGGAGGAGGCGCGGAACTTGAGGGTTCGGCAGTGCTTTTCTTCTTGGAAGCCTTAGACTTTGATCTTCCTCCGGCCATGATTGAGGCGTTTTTTAAGAAAGATTGAAGAAATATTGAGATTTGGATCAAGGAATGAAATTATGATGTTAATGGTGTATTAGAATGAGCAAATATGAGGGATATATATAGGGAATGGGAGATTAGGCCGTTTGGATTCAAAAATATAGCTGTTGGGCAATTAATGTGGTGCCCAACGGCTCTGAATTTTGAAATGCAGGTGCCTTCCCAGCGATGGTAGGATCTACCCATCGATGGGAAGGTCGCCACTGGAAAGCGAGGAAGGACCCAAGGCTGCCTTCCCAGCGATGTTTGGATTTTCCCATCGATGGGAAGGTGGCTTCTGGAAATTGACGAAGAAAAGAGCAAAGCCTCCCCAGCGATGTTAATACCATCCCATCGCTGGTTTGGTAGTTTTGAAAATCCGTTAAAAAATTTAAAAAAATAGTGTCAAGCACCCAGCGATGGGAGGAACTTCCCATCGATGGGTTGGGAGGTTCTGAAACAAAAGCAAGCACTCACCCAGCGATGGGATAAACTACCCATCGATGGGTAAAGGTGTTCTGGAAATCTGTTAACCATTTTTTAAAAAATAAAGTCAATAACCCATCGCTGGGAGGAAGTTCCCATCGATGGGAAGAGGGGTTTTGAAAGCAAGAAGCTTCCCTCCCAGCGATGGTATAACCCACCCATCGCTGGTTCTCCCTGACTTCCGGAATTCTTCACTTTGGACCGTCCCTGCAAAAAAGAACAGCACTTTGGTACCCAAAGTAAGTCTATGGGTCCTTGGGGGTTAGTTTACCTTTATTGCCCACACACACCCAAAATATGTTTCCATATGCGCACACACACATACACGATTAAATGATTGTTTAGGAGTTACCTTGGCCAATCCATCGTCTCGTGGTTGGCGGGTTCCAATCTACCTGAACGGAGTGCCGATATCTCGGTGTGATTTGTGTCGGTTCCGGTAACGGAATGTGGACATTCTTCTTTTCGTCAAAGTAGAAGAAATAATAAGGTTTCTTTTGTGCATCGTCCTGTGGAGATTGTTTATGATTTGAATATCCTTTTCCAAAGGATTTCTTTTCATTAGCACCAAATACGTTGTGTGTTTCATTGTAGGTGAAGTGCCTATGTCTGGTGAAACACACGGGAGCTTTATGTCCTACCCTATTGCAATAGTGGCATACTACGTTTGGGTTGAACATGTGCCTAGGTTGATAATAGCTAGGGGGCCTAACCATGTTTGTCCTATTTTGAGAAAAGGATGGTTTATGCATGTTTTCAAAAGGATCATTTCTAGGTGTTCTCATATTGTCTCTTCTATTTTGAGAAAAAATATTTTTATGCACAAAGACATTTTGATAATTTTTCTTAGGTTGTCTGCCATGAACGTTTTCATTCCTAGGTTTTTGTCTAGGTTGTCTAGTGTTCTTAGATTGACTAGGTTTTCTATTTACTTGATTTTTAGCTTTCTTATGTTGAGCCTTAGGAGGTTGTCTATGTGTTTGCTCAACGTTTTCTTTATCCTTAGCTTCGTTTTTATTAAAACCTATTCCTTCTTTAGAAAAATGCATGGTGTCAAGGAGTAAATTAAGATCTTTGTGTGGAGTATTAAATTTATTGACCGTACTCTCAAGTTTTGTGACTTGTTCCTCTAAAGCTTTGCAAGATTCACATTCGTTTGAGGAACTTTTTGGTTTGTCGGCGCTTCTTTTGCCATAAAATTTATTCTCTTGTTTTAACTTCTCATTATCTTTTTCCAGATTTTCAAAATCATTTTCAAGAGTGGAGAGGCGTTTCTTTAACGATTTGTTGATTTTAGAAGCGCGAACAAATTCATCATAAAGTTCATGAAGTGCTTCTTGCATTTCTTCAAAGGTGTAAGAGTCGGAAGAAATGGTACATACCTCTTGTACATCGTCGGTTTGGTCTTCATGCGCGATGAGACAGAGGTTGGAAGTTTCATCCTCGTCTTGATCGGTTGACTCGTCGCCGGAGTCGCCACCCCAAGAGATATATGCCCTTTGCCTTTTGAAGTGCCGAGCATTCCTTCCGCTTTTCGGGCATTTGTTCTTGATGTGCCCGGCTTCACCACATCCATAGCACACAGGGCCATCCTCAACCTTTTCTTTCTTCCGTAGAAGTTTACAAAACTTCTTCATGACAAGCTTGACTTCATCATCGTCGCTTGAATCATCCATCGTTGATTCTTTGACGGCTTTTAATGCTATCCCTTTCCTTTGGTCATTCAAAGACGGGTTAAGAATAGTAGATTCATAGGTTTTTAGATTACCTCTTAGACCGTCGATGGTGACATTTGATGTGCCGATTGATTCATAGATGGCATCGGCCTTGGATCGCCATTCGGATGTCAAGCTCCGTAGGATCTTTCGCACAAGATCC